ATTCCTGGAAAGCCACCGAAAAAGGTAGATAACTGAGGGGGGGGTAGCATATATATATATATATACACACACACAGACACACACACACACACACACACACATAGAGGTACATGCTCAACTGACAGCCCATCAGACGATGTGTGGTCGAAGGCCAATGTCAAAAGTCTTGCTGAGAACGGCCTCGGCATTTTGGATGCCTGGGCCCTTCGGGTTCGCTGCTGGTTTAGGACTTCATGTGTCGGCTATATTGAAACTGCTGTGCAGTCTCGTCTCCTTTGTCAGGCTGAAGGGGCCGGAAGAGAGCTCATGTCCTGCCTCTGCCTCAGCGCCGGGCCTGTGCCAAAGTCACTTTCGAAGTGACTTTTGGAGAGGCTTGGAGACAGCTGGGATGGAGCCCAACGAGGTTGAGATTTGGAGATGTGGGACGGTCGCAAAAAACCGCGCATCAGGAGAGCCGGCAGAGGTGGCGAGAGTTCTGCTATACAAACGGCTTGCAACCGTGCGCGTTCAACGTGCCAGCTTGGGTCTTTGCTGTGTGCCTAAGCGGAAGAGGTACTGCTCCGCTGTTGTTATGGAAGAGGAAGCCCTGAAGTATACTGACAAGGATTCGAGGCAGGGCACCGGTGGCCACAGAGCCTCACTGCCTCTCCTTCCTCCACAGGTCGCTTCCACAGATTCTCTCAGACCAGGGCGCAGCAGGCCCAGGTAGCTCAGTGCCTGCTTTTTTACCCACAAAATGTGGCACTGTGACACACACTGCAAGCCCAACCCTGAGGTCGTTCCGGCGGCCGGCCCTGCCTGTTTCTGGCCGGTGGCTCGCATCGGGCATCGCATGGGCCAGAGCTCACCCGAGATAGAGCATAGAGCCAGGCCCTGTCTCGGTCTTGAATACATTGAATATGCGATTGAACCGAACAAATTCATCTCCATCACCACTCCCCCTGCGAGAACTCGAGTACAGGACAGCGGGCAACTTGAATAAAGTTGATAAGAAGAATGGTGCGATCAATGTCCTCTTCTTCTTGTGATGAGGGGCATGCAACTGTTGTACATGCAACGCTTGGACGACTTGCATCAGCAGCGGACAGACACCGACACTGTTGATTGAGGACATCTTGCACCAGTTTCAGTAGCCAGGGAGAAAAGTACCCCGCACCCGGTGTTTTGCAGTGATGTCCTATTCCGGTGAGGGCCGTGGATTCCACTGGCGAGAGACTTTCTACGGTCACATGGCAGTTGTCGTCAATATTAATGATTATTAATGATGGGTTTGATGGGCGATGTCTTGAATCATCATCTGGTGTAGTTCAGCGTGAACAGCACCTTAGTTTCAGATTGAAGTTTGATTTCAATTGCTTTGTCGCCACAGTCGGGCACAACTCTTGCACTGCAGTCAACGACCGCGTTGTATGGCTGATGTCGAGCAGTCTTTTTCTACACCCCAGCAAGTCCTGGTGATAATGCTAGGACAAGAGGAGGCCGAAGGGATGTCCTTGTGCTTCTAATGCCACGAGAACGTCTCCGACCCTGTGCAATTCACAGCCGTGGCATAGTTGCATGATGCGACATGACGCAGTTGGGTAGTTTCAGGAAGCATCATCTCACGCTTGCATCTCTTGCGAGCCTTGTGCACCTTGAAATGCCAGATGCGAGTCGATCAGGGGTTCGTGCCGCAAAGAGCTCAGTCATACTTTGTGTTTTTCAGCCTGGCGGCAAACAGTGAGCGGACACCGACCGTTGTTGTCTGCCTTCATCGACTCGACGAGGTTGAACAGCTTTGGAGAAAAGGGCACGGAGGGGATCGTCTTGGCCTCGACCGGTCTTGCGTGGTCCACTTATGTCATCAAGCCGTGTGGTTGTAAATGCTGCAGGTGCTTCTGAAAGAACGTTGCGAGGCCCGACTTGTCCTATACTATGGATTATGAATTATGAGTTATGAATATGACAGGTTTCTTTGGCTCTGTAGCCTCATGGCCCGGACAGGACTACTACAAATCAGGAGTCCGCATTGCGAAGTGGCGCACGCAACTGGAGGCCACTGTGCGACGGCATCAAAGTTGTTTCAGAGCGCAAAACGGCTCGAAGTGGCTCCGGAGCTCTGCCAGTGCAACCTCGAGATGCCGACGGACGTGGCAGTCTGGGAAAACTCGGACTGCGTTGCTCGTGCAGCACGCATCTGTCAGGCGAAGCGAAGGGGGTGGGGGCTGTTGAACTCCCCGTGTTTTGCAAGATCTGAATGCCAGGCTAATGGCTTGGCGTTCATTGCGGAGATTCAGACATCGCAAAACACAGGGTGGGCCGGAAGCCGGCTTTCCACTGAGCAGCCTCAAGTCCCGCCATCTGCCTCCCTGCAGGAGCCACTCGATAGAGAGAACGGCCTATGTCTGTGAAAAGGCCAGCGGTGTGTCTGGTGCGCCACAAGCCTACATCGCAAGCACGAGATGCCCAGACCGCCGAAGCCGGCAGAGAGACCTTGCTATTGATGTAGGTTTGGTTGGCATGTTGTAGGATGTTATGTTGGCACACGCTTGAGAAAGCTAGCAACCATAAACAAATGCATTCTCCTGAGATTGTGATTGTCTTCCAGGCTAAGCACAAAGACACAGGTTCCTTTCCTTTCCCTTTCGGAGCACTGCGCTTTCGTGACGTCGTCCTAGCAGCTCCCATGATGCGATGGGGCCCGGCGCTGCGAAGCACATGGCAAATGCAGAGATGGATCTACCAGGCCGGGAGGCAGAGGGTATGTTAGGGTTTAGGGTTTAGGGTTTAGCGTGTCAGAGGTCTCCGGAAGAAGTGCCGCCGCCACGCGCTTCAGTTCGCACCGCTGGACTCAGTCAGCTGCTGGAACTCCGCCGGAAATGCCCGAGAACCTGCGACAAATCATGAACGAGTATGTGCCTTGGCTTTCGCCTGCCCCGCCTGTGCTCACGTGCGCAGTACGCGGAACTTTGTCACGACGCTTCGCCGAGGAGCGGCGACGAGCCGAAGAAGACGCCAAGCAGTCTGGTGTCTGGGGGATCCTGAACTCCAGCACCGGGGCCTTGGTGGGTGCCACCTGTGCAGGTGGCATCCTTTGGCTGCAGCTCTTTGAGAAGGAAGCACTCCTTGTTCCCCCCTCCTTGTCCCCATGAAAAGCTTTTCAGCTCGATTTTCGTCGATCTGAGCATTCAAAGCTACAACAAGGTTTTACTGCCTCGATGATGTGTCCAGCTCCCCGCATGGATTGTGGGCGATTCTTTTCAGAGTCTTGCCTTCAGACTGATGCTTCCATAAATCTGCTTCCTGCCTCTTAGGGCTGCCGGTCTCTGTCTCGGGCTGAGGGAAGCTTGGAGAGGAACGGGCAAGTCGAGCTCTGGTGAAAGCAGCATCCTGGAGATTACTGCCCAGGGACCTGGACAAGGCACCCATTTTAGGGTTTAGGGTTTAGGGGTTTAGAGTTTAGGGTTTCGGGTTTGAACATCTCCGGTTTTCGATTACTGGTTTTCGAGGTCCTTGTCCATCTAGGGTTCTCATGATGGTATCCTTGCTCTAGCAGAGGGACCCTAAAGGGAGCCCCTTCCTGCACAGGACGACCCCTACCTGGTAATTGAGCCGCACGAGGGGCTGAAGTTCTACACGCCTGTCGGCCTTGGTCCTGGCATTGACACTCTGGGGCAGGGCGTCTCTGCCTTTCTTGACTTGGGCTTCGGATTTGTGGAGGCAAGAACCCCTAAACCCTGAACCCTAAACCCTGAACCCTAAACCCTAAACCCTAAACCATCTAGAGGCAATGGTTTTCTCATCGAAGTTGGGTTGCGCGGCCTGACCAGGTCGGTCCAGTGGGTGCTGGCGGGGCGAAACCAGAGACGGTGCTGCGAAACCTTGAGCGTCGAGACGCCAGTCATCAGATTGCGCAGTTTGGATTGGTGGGTGCTTCTGTGGGAGGCAGCCAAGAGGACCCTTGCTTGGGAAGGGAGTTTCAGGGAGCGCCGGGCTTGGTGTCCGCTGTTCAGGAGCTGCTCTCAATTCTGTCTTCACTGGGCCCCAATCTCCAGCTCTTCGTCGTGGACCTGGCATCTATACCCGCAGGGCAGAGAGGTGAGGTGGCGAAGATCGCGAAAGAGCTGGTGCTCAAAGCGATGCAGCTGCCAGGGGGTGGGCCCCGCATCTTCCTGAGGTTCCAGCATCCGATGTCCATGTCATGTCACCTCTTGTGACAACCCTGCACAGGCTTCCTGCGAGCTGGCCAGACGCCTCCGCAAGCCGAGAGGCACATCCTGGACTGAACTGTTTGCAGCGCTGCAAACTGCTTTCTTGGGAGGAGCAGCGCCGTGCAGCAGGCGAGGTTGCCCAAGCGGCCCGGCGCAGTGAAGCCGCGGGGATCATCGTCTGCGGGGTGCCAAGCGCGAGACATGCAGACGAGCGAATATTCGTCGGCTCCTGTCGTTCTTCCACGGGTGTGCAAGAGGCTCGCAGGAATCCGCAGCAAATCAGCCACACCAGCCATGCAACCCTTCGAATGACTGCACGACTCGCATCCTAACGCTATAAGTCCATCAAGATTCTTCGCATAACGACTTTAGTCCGAAGTCCTCAGGCAGCATTTTAGATATTGGTGATAAGGGGGAAGCCCCCCTCTCTCTTGCTGTGCCATGCTGCTGGGTCTGGTGCGATCTGCACGACATAAGTGTCTTTTGGGAGAGCCACGCCAGCGAAGCATCAGGTTCGTGGTCTGCTGTGCTAGCAAGTTAAAGAGCTAGCGTCGAATGTTCCGTTGAAGAAGCAGAGACGTGATCAGGACGGCTCGGAGAGCTTACCTGCCCCTGGCAGTGGCTACACTAGGAGCTGTAGCTGTTCCGTCTCCGGCTTTGTCTTCGGCTTTCTTTGGCGAGAAGCGCCGAAAAGTGCGACTTGGAGCAAGGTTCTTTCTTCACTCTGGGAGCTATCTATAGCTATCTCGAGCGCTGGTGTCAGTGTCGGAGGAAGTGGGCTCGAGGCGGCCAGCTGCGGTGCTTGGCCTGTGAGGAAGGCTTGGGTGAGCGGTTTATAAATAAAAGGGGGCATAAAGGGGCTTAAGAGCCTCGGCACAGGCCACGCCACATCTCTGGGCAGCTTGTGCATCAACTTCTGCGGCCGTCCCGCAAAAGGCGCTCTTCTGCACATAAGTGCGGACAGTTCGCAAACAGTTTCATCGTCACGCCGGTTGATTCGCTGCTTCTAAGGCTACACACCAGTCTTCTGCGATGATCCCGGCACGAACACCGCGTCTGTGAATGCTGGTGACTACAACTTGCATCTTGGAGGCGAAGTGGGGTTCTTGCGAGATCATTCGGTCAGCACTTGAGTTCGTGAGCATCTCTTGCGAAAGTCCGCGAGGTATGTTGGAGGTGGCGCTATCAACCTTGCCTTCTTAAAAGAGCTGGGTCTTCCCCGGTCGAACAAGTACCAAGACTTGCACAAGGCGGAGCCGAGGGCACCTCCAGACCCCGATGTAGCCCGTTTAGAGCACAAGGCTCAGGGTTACCCTAAACCCTAAACCCTAAACCCTACACCCTAAACCCTAAACCCTAGGGGTTTTGGGCCCCACCCCTGGGGCTCTGCAGGCGATGTTGAAGGCCGCTTCCAGCACACCTGGCCAGCTGGTTGCCAGCTCGGCGCTGTCAGGTAAGGAAGTTGACGCTCGTCTGGTTTGGGCTTAGGCTACTAGGCTCGGTAGCCTTATGGTTGGTGATGAATTCTTGCATGAAAAGGGGCAGGTTGGACACAGAACTTGCCGCCGAGGAATCCTGAACACACTGCGCAAAGAAGCAACTAGAAGCCACCATCACCCTAAACCCTAAACCCTACACTCTGAACCCCTAAACCCTGAACCCTAAACCCGAAACCTCTGTTAGCGCCCTTCGCGGCTTCTGCTTTTCTCCCAGGATGCTTTTTTGGCGGAACTGGGCCTGATGGCGTCCTTCGCTTCTTGGCGCATACAAAAAAAGAGTTAATTCCCCAAGGGTTATAATATTACGAGTCATTATAGGGTTTAGGGTTTAAAGGTTTAGGGTTTAGGGTACAAGAGTTACAATCAAGATTACAAGAAGGGGTACTAGAAGGGTGACTAGAAGGTCTATTGCTTTTCAGTTTGAGGGGCAGTGATGTCCTCGCCATCTAGGCTCGCGTACCCGCTGTCAACGGCCCCGACGCTGTCGTTGGAGCAGCCTTTCTGGATGTCTTGGGACCTGAGCATCGCCCACGCAGTCCGAACCCTAAGAATCCTCACCGCACCACGAAGTGTCATGCCAATTCTACACCAAGACTTTCGTGCTGGGGCTTCGAGGCATAAAGAACGTGGCGATGCTGTACGTGGTGGGTCCGAAAGGTGGGTCCGATTTTTTTGTCAGTTCTCGCCTAGTCATTTCAAGCTACTATGGAGGCACAGGAGCTACAGGGGGACAAGGCCCCACGGTGGACTCCAATGCAGCATTCCTGCAGAGCGTTGAAGAGATGGCTGCCAACGCGCTGCTGGCAGTGGCAGAATACAATTCACTGCTCGACGAGGAGGTGGGGTTAATTACCCAACGCTAAACCCCTAAACCCTAAACCCCTAAACCCTAAACCCCTAAACCCTAAACCCTAAACCCCTAAACCCTAAACCCCTAAACCCTAAACCCAAGATTTATCCTTCGGAAGTGTGACAGTCCTCTGGAGGAGACGCTGCCCAGAATCCAAGAAGTTCAGTTCTGCCACCAGGCTGCAGACTGTACACCGGATCACATCTGAGAGCGTAGAACTGTGATTCTCCATGTCTTTCCATGTTGGTCACATGTCGACTGCAACAGCAAAGGTTTGGTATCTGGTGGCGTCTACATGCACCCCGAGAGTTCCAAGCTCGACGTGGCAACGGCCATTGTCAGAGGTTTGCGGCGGGCTGCCGACACGAAAGCGGCTCCCACAGTGACTTTTGCGAAGATTGATTTCGTTTCTGGTAGTCCGAGCTGGCATCGCGTTTCAGGCCAAACCGGGGTCGCCTTATGATTCTCCTGCCAAGGTGAGATTCGCCTACGATTCCAACTCATTTGAGGATGCAGTCGGAATCGAAGAGCCTGGCGTTTTCAAGAGTTGAAAGTCCTCCTAAAGTGACGATGGGCTTTCGTTCTTGACTTAGAAGCAGAGGCGCTTAGAAAAGATGCCTGAACGATGCCAACACCCGGCACTCTCGGGAAAAGCCCGACCGGGGAAGCAGATGCAACTGGCAGCCATGGCCTTCGTGCTTGTAAGGCCATGATGATGCAGCCTACGGTTGCCAGGGCACGAAGGCCAATAGTCACGTGATGCGACATGACATGAATTCTGTCACTCTTTGCCATTCCAAGCTTTCCAGGAGTCGCGCCGACTCCAGCGTGAACTGATTTCTGAGGCTTTCGAGACAACCCAGGCCCGCAGCTCAATACCTTGCGGCTCTGGAAGTCTCTGCGCATTGACGAGTTCATTTTGTACCTGGGCGGGTCAGCGGCCAGAACCGCTAGTCTGTCTGCCATCAGGGAGACATCGCGATCATTGCCAGCGGCGGGCTGCGCAATGCCAGGGATGCTCTCGACGCGGCGCCTTGGCTGACCTGTCAGTTTCAGCTCGACACGCTCGCGCGCATTGATCCATACCGCCGAACTCCGTGCTACACCCCGAACGAAAATGGCGTCGGAGCCTGGAGATGGATGATTCGCGGACGAGACGAAGCCAGAAGAAGCAAAGCGGCGCAGAGTACTGGGTTCGAGAGCAAGTAGTTCGTTACAGCTAAGCCACCGCCACCGCCACCACCACCACCACCACCACCACCACCACCACCACCACCACCACCACGACTACGACGGCCACCACGACGACTACGACGGCTACTACGACGACTACGACGGCTACTCCGACAAGTATGACTCGATAGTCCAATGGTTCGGTGCATTGTAGTTTTGGGTCTAGGTCAAAGTATTTTCCCACACCATATCGTGTCCATGAGCTTCTGCATCATAAAAGTTGTTCTTGTGGCAGCAGGCCGATGGAATCTCATGTTCTAAAGTCTAAAGTATTCGGAACCGGCTCGGTCCAGAGTCATCGCAGTAGGTCCTACCAACATTGAAGCGGCACTTGCTGTAGAACATCTTCATGCAGAGCCCGGCGTTTAGGATTGCTGCTAGCTCATCAGGGATTTACCAAGGAATCATGGCTAGCAGCACGTGAATCCTTTGTAGAGGGCTTGCAATCATTGCACTTAAGCAGGAATCAACACTTGGCAGTTGCTGTACATGGACCATCCGCGGGTCTGCAAGCAAGGTGGAAGCTGGTGCCACTGCAGCTCTTCTGCAGAGTGCTGCCGTATTCCTGTAGCCAGTCCAACCACTCATGCTGCTTCGGAGCGATTCTTCTCGGCAGGTGGTGCAGATCTCCTCTCTTCTTCTTGAGGAAGGCCTCAGAAGACCGTACACCGTGCGCTCTTTCTGCACCTTTGGCTCCGACTCCACCAGAAGAAGCGAGCCAGGCCCTGCCGCATGCCGCCAAATGAAGGATGGGATGGCGCAGCTTCTAATGCAGGAGGCAGAGCACCGGGGTCTGGGTTTTACTCGCAGGATGCGTTTGCCATTGCTAAGTTCTACCTCCGAGCGATGGGTTTTCCCGGGGGGGGGGGAGGTGCTGAGGCTGTGAGAAGCAGATGCCCAAAACTCCACTTCACATCTGCTTTTGCTGGTGGTGCCCGCAGAAGTGTATCCCAAGCATCTTTTGAAGTTGCATCCGTCAAGTGCCAACGGACATCACCGAAAGGCACACCATGGTTTGAAACAGAGCAACGCCTGATGTGCGCGATGCTTCCACGCTCTGTTCGGTGCTGTTGGCTGCTCTTGTGCGGTTGAGTTGCTGCTTCCAAAGGTACCTCGTCCTTCTGCGAGTCATGATTCAGAACGGACCCTGAACACGCCTTCAACGAGTTGTGGGTGGTCCCAGCTTGTGCTTTTACAGAAGCACCTCTTCGAACTGCCCCATTCCATGTCCGCCTGAATTATTCTCGCTGTCGCTTGTTTCGGAGGCAGTGGTTCGGTTCAGTTCAGCACAGTCGACAGTGCTGCGGGTGATTGCAGAGCAGCAGTTGAATCCCAGAATCGTACCCGTTGCTCCGGAGTTGAACATTAACGAGATTCAGTGGGTCAACCTCCTATTCGTTGGACCCAAGGCGTTGCCGAGGCAAGTGTCGGTGCCGTTCAAAAAAACAGTTTCTGACTCCCAGAATAGGTCCAAGAGGAGGGCTGGTCCTGCAGTAGTGGAGGTGAAGTCGTAGGTGGGGTGCGGTGGGGTGGATGTCTGGTTGTGTCTGTGATGGTGGCCATGGTTGTCGTGGTTGTTTGCGAATGCTGGAGTTGTCGTGTACTGGTGGTGCTTGCTGCATTTGCGCACCCTGCAGGGCCACTTGAACTTGAAGTCTGTGGTGGGCTCTGCTGTTCTGCGAAGAACAGGCTTTTCAGCAGCAAGAGGGTTCGGCTTGCCCTACAGCATCCAGTTCAAACAAGCGACAGAAGCCGAGGCAAGACCAAGCAAAAGAAGAGGCCCTCTTTACTGAATATGTGCTTAGTCGGTTTGCGGATTCGATCTCTTCAGAACTTCAGATGTTGCTTGCGCTGTGCAGGAATCCCTGGAAGCCAAAACCCTCGTAACGAAGGACATGGCGAGTTTCACGTCGAAGATCGCTTGTGCCAGAGACACGGACCCCAGTACGGACCGCAAAGTCGACGTGCTCTACATCGGAACGAAGAGCGCAGAAAGAAGAAAACAGGCTCTTCTGCGGTCTTCTGGCCGTGGTGCGTGCAAGCGGGACAGTCCACTATGCCAGGCAAAAAGACCTTGTTAAAACTGATCCGCGTTTCCGCAACCCGGTCAGTTCTACAGCAACGTCGTGCGCAATATGAACGAGTATGCCACAGTCTCAGAATAGTGCGTGTTTTGATCTTTGCTTGTGGTGGTGTTAGACAGCTACATGTGAGCCAGGATGTTAACTTGGAAGCGGTTGCTTTCACGATCGACACCTGCGCAGCAGGCGCATCGGCTGTTCGGTGTTGGAACTTGGATGCGGTATGGAATGAGTGGCGTTGGAGGCTCTCACCACAGTTTGTTGTTGGAGGTCGCGAATATGATGTAGCACAAACTCAACCACTCAGGCTTAAATGGGCGCCCCATTTGCGTGGTTGTGTTGATTTGATCCACGCGATGGTGCAACGCGCGAAAATCTTTCTCGGACGTCTTCGTCTGCACGTGCGGAAAACGGCCTGTGCTGCGCGACAGCATGCCGCCCTACAAAGGGTGCATGAAACACATGGTGGCCTTGTGGCGGGCATAGTTAGGTCGGGAGACAATGCTACAATGATACAGGACTGAACCCCGTGCGAGGCAACCCATCATTCACGACACGAGGCAGTCCCTTATAGTGAGTGCTGGTGGTGATGACGATGAGTGACCCAAGTCGAAGTTCACCTTAAGCCTGGCATACGTTGTGGCATAGTCGACAGTATGTTGCTTATTGTCTGTCGGGTCCTGGCCGGGATGGCCAGTCCAGCCCGACACTTGAAGGGTCCGAGGTCTTCAGAAGGTTGTTAGATTAAAGGTCTTTCACCCAAGATGCATGAACTTGAAACAAGAAGATTCCACTGGCTCCCGGTATACACAAAATTGGGAGATGGGTTCAAAACCCTGGGACTTCCAACTCTGGGAGGGATGCGACGCTTGGTGTGTGGTGAGCATCTTCTGGACCTCTGTAGGCGAAGAGATCAGACTTGGAAGGTCCCTTTGTTGCTTGATTCTCCCATGCTGTGGCACTTACAGTCTTCTAAGGAGAAACCCAAAATAGATCGCCTTGCATAGACCAAACTCCCTTCAGACCCCTGTTGCAGGCCCGGATGCCATGGTCCCGTTGAGCGACCAGGTGGCCAGATATACAGCGGCTCGGCTCGGCCTCTCCCCCGCCCTCTGCACAGCTATAGGCCTCTGTAGACTGCCGAGCCCTTTTCTTGCCGCAGGTGAACAGGAGCTATACCAGAGTCCCAGTCCCAAAGATTTCCTTAAGTTTCAGGTCCGCACGCTGACGCGGCATGTGCCTGAGATGGTATGTCGGATTCTCCAGTCTGAAATGCTACATTGGGCTGCGTCGAGGACGCTGCCTCCAGCAACCGGAGCGGTGCTGCTTCTAGCTGGGGAGGTGGCCCCTGAGGAGGCGCCCAAGCGGAGTCGCTTGAGTCGCTGTGTTTAATGCTTCTTTGTGTCAGCCAGTCACCAAGGCTGTCCGCAATGCGAAAGCCGCCGCATTCTTATGGCAGCAGTCATCGACGAAGAACTGTGACCCACACATAGCTGTAGTTGTGGATTTTCTGATTCTCGTGAGAGGCATGCGTCCTCCCATGTGTCACTCCGCATCGGGGCCAACTAGACGCTCAGGTGCAAGACGAGGCTGCGGACATGACGTGGAAAGTCGCACCTGTGTGCGCTTCCATTATTCCGAAGATGTTGGTGACTGGCTGTCTTTTCGGCTACGCGAAGGTACGGCACGGGGCTCCTGAAGCCGGTCATCAGTGCGTGGGCCAGTGGCGAGGAAGGACTGCGGACCGGGATGTGAAAGAGTTGCAGAAGCGAGCGCTAGCAGCATCGACACATTCGGGTGCCTGCCGAGACACAGCTCGAGAACTGTTGCAACGAACACCCGCCCTGTTTGATTTTTTCCGAGCTTTCGTTTCTGCAAGCCTTTCCTGATTGGTATCGCAATGCCAATAATAATAACAGTAATAGTAATAAAAATACTAATTACTATCATATATACATATATATACACATACATACCGTGCATGCTTTCGGAATGCTTTCACGCCGGAATGCCATGTCTTGGCTCAGCAGATGTTTGCTCAACAGTAGCGAGGTTGGGCCGGCGGGCTTCTACCAGCCAGCTATGAGTCACAATTATGCAGACCTGCATCCCATGTGGGTGGTGAAGCTGACCGACATTCTGAACATGCCAGAGGGGCCTCCTCCAGTGCACGAGGAGTTGCAGAAAGCTGGTGTGCTCGTGCTGCATGAGCCGCATTTCTCTACTATCTTCGTGTCGCATCAGTGGCTGGGTGCAGCACATCCGGATCAAGCTGGCAATCAGTTCCGTATATTACGTATTTGCATTGAAAACATTCTGAGTGGTAGCTTGAAGCTTGCACCAGGAAGTGCTGACACAGGCGGAATAATGGGCACCTGGCAGCACGGGCTGTCACCGTCACAGGTCAGCAAGATGCGTGGCTCGTATGTTTGGTTTGACTGGTTTTCGATTCCGCAGCAGGGAGATACTTACAACTTCGCCCTGGCAGTGCGGTCAATACCTTCCTTCGTTGATGCTTGTGACTTTTTCGTGGCCTTGGTGCCGACAATTCCTCACTTTGACACGGGCTTGGATTGTAACTTCGTTTCTTGGATCGCCACCGGACCCGGCTTGGTAACACGTTGCTCCTTTCCACTGCAGGCATTGTTTCCTAGGACTGTGGGGACTGTAACAGCCCCTAAATCATCCTAAATCCCCAAACTCCAAAGCTTATAGGGTATCGATGTCAACAAGTCAAGAACATGAACATGAACATGGGAAAAAAGGACAGGGGATGGTGCCGCGCCGAGATGTGGTGCAGGCTTTTATGTGATCGACCCACCAGTCCGATTATTGTGATCTTGGACTATGACCACGCGATTTTTGCGATGCCATCTCAGTGCTTGCAGTACCCCCCAAACACGGGGAAGTTCAGCGTGCCTGCAGATCGGATAGAGGTCAACAAGTTTATTCGAATTGCGCTCCGCAACAAGATTGGCCAACTTGAGATGAGTACTGCTGCTGTTGACACCTGCCGATACTTCAAAGCCAGATTTGAAGACATTCTGGGCCTGCCTCATGCGAAGCGAAATCCCAGTTCTTTTGCGTCCCACTTCGGATTTGGCTCCAGGGAAGAGGCTGTTGACCAGAACACTTTCTCCATGAGTGCTGTCGCATGTGCGGTGCTCTCCAAAGATGTGAAGATGCTGGGATGGCTGCTCCGTGCGGGGTCTTCCTTCCACAAGCGGCTGGATGCTATGACAGATGTTGGGATTCCTCCGGGCTGGACTCCTCTGCACCTTGCTGCCGAGCTCAGCTGCCAGGACCCCGCCCCTCTCGAACAGCTCCTGACAATGCGTGCAAACCCCAATACGACAGATGCAGCCGGCATTTCGGTTCTAGCAGCCTGCAGTTCTGGTTTGGCTGTAGAGATGCTGGTAAATTTTCGAGCCGACGTGAACCTTCGTCGGTCTCCAAGCTTCAAAACGGCCTTGCAGGGCAGTTGTGCCCGCTTCAACGAGACGGAGGCAGTTGCAGCATTGATCGAATGCAGAGCCCACGTCCACCGCGCAGAGCTTTGCTGTTTGGCAATGGCTGGAACCGTGCGGCCCCACGCGGTGCAGCTTGCGCAGCTGCTGCTGTCGGCTAGAGCCGAGGTAAACGCAAGTCCACAGAGCTCCGGCAGGGAGAGTTTCATGGAGCTGGCCTGCAGAGCATGGGCCGCAGTGGGGGAGCCTCCTATAGCTGTGAGGTATCTGGCGGAGCGCAGCAGCACGGCACTGGGCCATGCATGTTTCTGGGGCAGTTCCAACCTAGCTGCGTTCCTCCTGGGAGCAAGGGCAGACCCTCAAGAACGCAACAAGCGTGGATGCTTGCCTGCAGAGCGCTGCTTTGAAAGCTATTTTTGTGTCTGAGCTATCTGCCAAGCATTGAGGCAAGCAACAGACTGTAGCTGAAGAGCTCAAAGAGTTGTAGGAGATGCCCTGGCTAAAGAATGCTTGAGCTCAATGACGGATACAGGATCGGTTCTGCTGAATGCAAACAGGCAGCACCAGACAAAGACAGCCCCCCTTGACTCCGGTATCCTCCTCCTCCTTTTCCTCCTCCTTCTGCTCGCCTCCTCATCCTCATCGTGGTCCTGTCGTCGTCGCCATCATGCATGTCGAGAGTAGGGGAGTTCCCCTGCTTTCTTTCGCCAGGGCTGTGGTGGGGAGTCTCCGTCTCTCTCTCCCTCTCTCTCTCTTTCTCTCTCTCTCTCTCTCTCTTTTTCTCTTCTTCTTAAACTCTCTCTCTCTCTCTCTCTCTCTCTCTTCTTCCACACAGACAAGAAGGGCGTGAACCCTTCCGACACGGACGCGCGCTGGTTGCTGGGTCTGATGCGAGCTAAGGCTAAGGAGAGGCCGGCGAGTCTGTGCGCCTACATGTAACCAGAAACCGCAAAACCTAGACCTAGGTACTATCTCTCGCGCTCTCCTTATCTCTCTCCTTCTTCCAATTTCTTCCACACAGCCAAAGAGTAGGTACTGAACCCCCCCCTCGCGCGCGAGCGCGCCCTGGGTCCTGTGTGAAAACTGTTTCCGAGCAAGGTGAGCGCTGTGAACGAAGAAGGTAGTAGGTTGTGCTGGAGCGTGTGGGGAGGGCACCTCCCTCCCTTACATCCTCTGACCAAGAGAAAGAACAGTTCTAGTAGAACTGATGAACAAAGCAAAGAAAGAGAGAACCACACAGATGCTTTAACGATAGCTCCTGCAGTGAATCAGGTAACACACCGCTGCAGCTGGCACGACATCAGCGCATCCGCCACATTTTGCAATCCCCACTGACGGAAGATGATTCCGATGATGCAGGCATTTACGGGCATTTGAATTCAGATGCCTTAGTCTCTCCGACCAATTCCATGATACTAGGTTTTGGAGCTGGGCGGCGGGTTTCGAAGCGCATGTCGAACACATCTTCGCGGTCCCACTTCGAAGCCACTCAATGGCGGCAGGAGTGTAGTCTGGACTCTGAAGATGATTCGTTTTCTATTTAGGTGTATCCACCTCGTGGTCAGGAGGCAGCTGCTTAACCAATACTTCTCCTACTGTTTCACCTTCTGCATCGCACAAATTGCAGGGGTTTTAATGCCCAGCTGGAGTTGCGATGTGACATCAGGGACCTGGCTTTGCCCTATCCATAGGACTCTGCTGCCTGGCTGGAGGCAGTCAGTCGAGCCCAGGGCTTTTCCATGTCAGAGAATTCGGACATTGAGCATGACGGAAAAGAATGTGTATAGCCTCTGAGCCACCAGCTTCAATGGCGCTTTGCTGGTGGCATGTCACGGACGTGCAAACTGGAGACGTGCGAATGCCAGGCCTGCTGGACGCCTGCAAGTCTGCGCAGCTAGCAGATGCTGAGTCACCTAGCTAGGTTTCTCACTTTTCTTCACCTGCGTCGTCCAATCAGTTCGAAAAGGAGGGACCGCATAGGGCATGTCAAAGTTTGGATCATGTGCAGTCTGTGCTGGTGCGGCTGGCGTAAGTCGATGATTTGTAGAATGCCATGCAGCAAGACAGATTTGTAAGCCAGTTGTGTTCAGCACCGGTGTGGGCCGGTAAGTGTGAACGAGCAGGTAGCAGGTACGGCAAAGCAGCTTTTGGTCTCGAGCAGGGCCAGAAGAAGTTAACCTTCTAGTTGAGGGCTTTTGTCTTTTTGGCTCCACGCAGGCCCGTCTCAGGTTTGGTGTGATACTCCCTAACTCCCCACCCCAACCAAGAAACCTATGCTAATCGAAGAACATCCGGGTCTTCCGGATGTTGCCTGCGGACGCTGCAGTTGCCCTTGGACGCGATGGGTGCTTTCTGGAGATGGCTTCAGGAGATAGGATTGCTCCGCCTGGTGCTGGGCGTCGGCAGGAAGCCACTCTTCGAGTATGATGATCACTATGTGATGTTGTGACTTTGCTGTTATTGGCTAACAGCTGTCCTTTCCTGTCACCTTGACAGGGGCATCGCTCTGTGGCTGTCTCAGTCCACATGCTGACGGTTGTGAGCCCACAGAAGCCGCTCCCCGAAACTACGCTTGTCTCCGGTTGAGGGAAACGGCACACTTGGGCGAAACGATGTCGCAATGCCTCCAAACACGTCAGGTCAGCTTGGGAAGTGTGACCGCGCGGCCTGGGGTCCGACCTGACTGCGTGCGATACCAAAGTCAATACTCAAACTCCCAAACCCCTTTGCCCCACTCCCCAAACCCCCAGACCCCACAAACCCCGATTTCCCAGACCCTCAAACCCCTCTAATCTACAAGCCGCTACAATCACCAAAGGAACGACATCGGACGGAACCACTTCTACCGGGAAGCACTCGAGAACTTCTTGGCGAGGTGGCGCAAGAAACCCCAAGACTGCAGGGCTCGAACAAGAACAAGCTGTTGCCTTTTTTGTTTTAAGTATGTATGCGCATTATTTTTCAGGGCGTCTGCAGGGAATTGGTATCAGTGACCAGCTCTCTAGAGACCGGTATGATGAGACGAGATAAGATAAGATTAGCTTACATAAGATAAGGTAAGCTCAGACAGTCGTGTTTATTTCTTTGACAATATACAGGGATATATACATACACATGCATGCACATAAATGCACACGTACGTACGCATACGTACGTATGCCGTATGTACGTACGTATGTACAAAAAGGTATACATGTATCTGCACATATGATCACATATATACAAATGTAGACGCATGCATAATGCACGCAGGAATGGATGGATGGACCTATGTATCTACATATATATCTGTATGTCTATGTATCTATGCACCTATTTCCGTACATGTGCTTGACATGTTGGAGTTCCCCCTGCCCAGTTGTCCTGGCTGTGCGGTCCTAGACCTCGGAGCCGGCAGCGGGCTGCTGGCGATCCTCGCCGCCCGGGCAGGATCCTGAACCAGCAGTGAGTATATTGGATAATATATGGCATGTAGTAGTAGTACTAGTATAATTTTTTTGCATGTGTCGAGTTTGGCAGGCTTGGGTGCACATGTATCATTTGTTATCGTCCATGACAGCTACGAGGGGGACGTCCACGTCGTTGCTGTGGATCTCCTGACCAGAGGAGACTCCGACTCCCCTCAGCAGGCCGACTTCGCTGCGCATGCGCAGGCAGGCGAGGTCAGAGGATTGGTAACACCTAGCGTGCCGTGTGAGTATAAAATGTGTCGGTTTGCGGACGACTGCCTTGAGCCTTCTTCAGCCCTGTTGTGCATCAGAGAGCTGTGGATTTTCCTTAGATTGGGTTGCGCGCCATCTGCATCAGCAGTTTGCCGTAGCCCTGATCATCGCTAGGCTTGTCTTGCACCAGGGGAGTTTCTGTCGGGTCCGGGTAGGAGAAGCATCACACCCGGGCCCGGGTCGGGCGGCCCAGCAGTGGAAGTCCAGCTGAAGCAAATCATGTCCCTCTTGCAAGCTCTTTTTGGGTTTCTTTCAGGGTGGACGTAACATGCCAGAGATTGGGGCGCTGCTAGCTGGCACAGCGACTAGCACGGAATCCCCCAGACCATCACCAAAGGCTAAGGCGAAGGCGAAAGCAAAGACGAAGGTCAAAGCGCGTGCGCGCGCGCGGCCCCGCCGCACCCTGAACCTTCACCTGCCCCTGAGCCTGTGCGCCCTCCCGCCTCGCAATCGGTAGAGGTTGTTCCCCATATTCCCCCAAAAACCCCTAAGCCCCGTCGGCCAGCCCAGCAGGCAAACCCGACAGGCCAGGCCGTCGCAGGACAGGAGCAGCAGGCCACTGAGTATGCACTCAGGGCTTCTGATTGGCATGGAACCATACTTCCCTACGATAAGCTCGAGCAGGACCTACACACCAGAGGTTCGGGGTCCATCGTTGTGCTTGTTGGTATATAGCCCTCAAGAGGCTGATGTAGCTGCCCAGCTGATAGCGGGCGTGGGGCGACATGCTGCTTGGATCCTCTTTCGTGATAAGACGCCGCCACTCATGGTGCCCCTAGTCTCTGGAGGCCGTGTGCTCCCGCAGCATGTGGCATGTCAGACGGTGCCTTGCTCTGGCGTGGCTTTTCCTTCGCATAAGTCTTCGACAAGGCCCAGACAGGCCCTAGCTTGTACGACCTGCCCCATGCGGGTCATCGTTAGTGGCTTTCTTGCTCAGGAGAGCTTGTGGCGACTTGTCGCCACGCAGCCGAGGCGATTCCTTCAGGAGTGGACGAAGCAGCTCCCTGGGCAACTCCGCGGGGTGGTGAAGGAATGAGGGGGATTTGTTGAGGGCAAGAGGACTGGGGATAAAGTCGTTACGGGCCTCATTCGGATTGACACTGATGTGATTGTGCCGCTTTTGGCCTCTTCCGGCAAGCTCGGCGTTTTCTTGGAGCCGGTTGCACGCCATCCGGCGTACCCGGCAGCGGTTGTTGATTGGCATAGGCCGGGGCAGGGAGAGTCATGGGTACAGCTTTGTCAGCGATTGCATGCGCAGCGCCCTGCATACGGCCTTGCACTTGGGGGAAAACAGATCGGATTGAGACGGGCCCCTGGTGCCGACCATCAGCCCAAAACTTTGTGGCAGATCGTTGGGACGCCGGTGCATTGGTCCGATTCCTTTCTTCATGATCTCATTGTGTCCCAGACGCCGGCCGGCAGAGATTCTGAGGCGCCAGGTCCGCGGCAAGAGGTGTACATGATGGGTTAGGGCGGCCGTTTCGGGGCCGGAGGATGCACACTGCTTGGCGGCAACTGAGGGAGGTCTTGAGCTCAATGTTTGGATGTTGTCCAGCACTTCTAAACCCCCTCCCCGTAGGCCTGGAAAACCCATCCCACAACAGGGCGCCTTTTCCTTGTATCGATCGCCTTTTGACCGAGTTGACAAGCCAGGGGCTACCGCTATCGTCGGCGAGCCTGATGCTGAGCAATGCTGAGGACCTCGATGGCAATGATGGTGACGCTGCGAGGCCCGTGCCTGCTGCCAAACGGGTGGCAGCGAATTTCACTGCCAGTGACCCCGGCCATGCATGCCGCCCTTGCTACTGTCCGTGCAGTACTTTGCTTGAAGCCTCGCAGACAAGTCGAGGTTTGCATGCTTGAGGTTCGTCGTCGCCACGAGTGACGTGGCTGAGGATGTGCCGGGGCAAGGCACAGGAGGCTTCCTCCTTGTGGCAGAATCGCGTCCTCCGAGGTTTTTGTGGCCGATTCAATGAAGCGACGTACAAGGCCTTGTTACCGGGTGATGTGAAGATTTCTCTATGGTGCTTGTTGCCTTGACTTCTCGAGCCTCCACCTTCCGAGGTCGATGGGGGGTTTGGTTTGTAGATAATGTTGCTGCTTTGATGGGCTTGATTCGCGGGAGGTCTGACTCCCCGGACCTCGAACGCCTCGCTCATCTGATTAACGTCGAATTGTTTTTCCTTCGGGTGTGGGTTTTCTGGGAGTGGATCCCAAGTAAATCTAATTGGTCCGACTCGATCAGTCGACTAGGGAGGACGATCCCTGAAGTACGGCTAATGGTTTCGTGCTTAGCCACTCGGCTTTTCTATCGAAGGTGTGGTCACTTCCGTTGGTGCCCGCCATGCTGTTTTACCAGTTTCTGTAGAAGTGTTTTGGGAGCAGTGCATTAGGAAATTGAACCGACGTAAGTTCAAGGCAGTACCGGAACCCAGGGGCCAGGGGTGGACCCAGCACTGTGTGGCAGAATGCCAATCCGGAAGTGTTACCAATGCACTTCCTGTGAGTGTGTACACAGGTTCTACGGGGGACACGGCGGTGCACTGCGAAAGGAAAACGCCGTGCTGAGCGAAAGCAGTAGCCTAAAGGACGTGATTCACCAATGAACATATGATATATGAGCAGCAGTAAGTATACCGTGAGCTTGTGGGGGTTACATAATGTTTCGGGTGTAGCTGCCTTTAAAGTCTGTAGGGTTTCGGGTACTACTACTACTACTACGACTACTACTACTACTACTACTACTACTACTACTGCTACTACTGCTGTTACTCCTACTCCTACAAGCCTGCGGGTTGAAACTCTTCTCGAACTGTCGAAGCTAAGGATCTGAAAAGGTCTGGGCCATAGAGGCGCGGCTTGGCTGAGTGTTCAGAGGTCTCATCGGATTTAGGTTTTGGGGTTTAGGGATTTGCGGTTTTCAGAGGTCCGAGAGAAGAAGGGGTTCCATGGTTTCAGGGTTTGTGGGTTCTGAGGTTTTATGGCTTAGGGTTCACGGTCTAAGGGTTGAGGGTTTTGCGGGTTAGCGGTTGGCGTTCAGTTTAACGTTTTATGGTCTTAGAGTCTTAGGGTGCAGGGTTTTAGGTTTCGGAGTTAAAGTTGACAGAGGGTCTTCCGTTCAGGGTTTAGGGGTTTAGGTTTTAGGGGTTTGGCGCCCCAGGGTTCGACGGTTCAGCGGTTCCGAAAGCCTCGCCAAGCTCAGGAACCCACATCTCGCAGAGCTTGCAACAAGGACTCTGGAGCGCAACAGAGCGCTTTATCCAAAGACAAACATGAGTGTCATCGCGCAGCTGTCAGCGCAAGTTGATGCTGACGCTCTGGGGCGGAAAGCTGACTTGTTGGTGACGGAGACTTTTGGCACTATGTTGCTGGGTGAGGGAGTGCTTACATTCGTGTCAGATGCAAGTACCTCGACCTGTGTTCTTGGCATCTTCTCTTTTTATTGCTGGAGGTTTGCAATTGCTAGTCGCCAGTCTGCGAAACTCTTTGTGACCAGAGACCAGAGGCAAGGAGATCGTCTCTTGAAAGAGGGCGGCCAAATCATCCCTGCCGGTGGCTGCCAGTACGTCACTCTGGTTCAGATGTCGGAGCCCTTGTGGTCGCCTCCATCCTGGCGTGGCTTCAATCTGAGCCGATTGGAGGACCTTCAGGACACGGTCTATTGGAAGGCCATGTTCCTTTCAAATATTCGCTCCGCCAGTATGGGCTGTTGCAACAGGCAGCTTGGCATGAGATCAGATGCGTGAATGCCTGTGAGGCTATGGTTGGTGCCTCTAGCACCGAACATATCAAGCTGAGCAAGAGGACTTGCGTCTTGGAGCTCGACCTTTACGAGGCAACGCCAGAGCAGATTCCAAAGAATCGCACGTTTTGGACCCCGCCTCAGTTCAACTCCAACTGTGTCGTAGCACTGAGCAAAGCCTAAACTCAGGATTCAAATGCAGCAATCAGGCACTATCGATGCTGTGGGAAACTTACCTGCGTGATTCATATGTCTGCTTTTTGCCGATGCCCTGGCTACTTAATGTGCAATCTCCGCAAGGCCGTGTTTGATTGGGACATTTGGGCAGACCGGAGCAAGCGCAAGGCAGAAGGTGAGAACATCAAACTTGCAAGACGGCTGGCGTTGCTCTCGCCAGGTGTTGAGCACTGCTCAGGGCTCTCGCAACTTTGCAGGTGATGCCGCTCGCCACGAGATAAGCCGCTCTGTGTGACATTTGGTGCCTGCGATGGCATGCTTATCAGAGGTAGGTGGAGGTCTCGAGACAAGACGGAAGCAGGAAGCCGGGAAGGAAAGAAGGAAGCATGAGAGAGAGAGAGTCCACAATAATACACATATGGAGAGAGAAACAGCGAGAACTACCAAACTCGCGTGGCCAGCGTGTAGTGTGCTTCACAGCGGTGGCGTCAAGCGCGATGGAAGGAGCTACCCCCGCACAGACGGACGGACGTGAGCATGAGGGTTTCTGGCCTTGCCTTCAATCATGGTGGAGAGGACTAGAAGAGGGAGAGAAACGACGAGACACGGAAGAGGCTCTCTCAAGAATGATTGAAAGGAGCCGCCAGCAGTTCGAAGTGACATGTCGTGAACTTGTCACGAAAGCTCTCCCCAGGGAGCCTTTCGTTTCAAAAGTCAGAACTTGTTCTGCCAGAAGGCTTAGGCGGTATGGACTCCGGGCCCGTTTTTGAAGCCAATCCCCTTGCTATGCAGGGCCCAACGGGGCCTTTTTTGGGCTCCAGCGGGTGGGTCCCGAAACGACCCTCCAATGGAGAAACGAGCCCGCGATGATGCTCGTGATGCTTGCTTGGCGGCGCCCTATGATGCTCCAGATGCTCGCCTGCCGGCGCTAATTGGGATCCCTGGATGCTCATGATGCGCTTAGCTGCGTCGCGACGCTCAGCTTCTTGTGTGTGCGGTCTTGAGTCAAGTTCGAGCTACACCCTCCAACCTGGAGCTTTCGTCACCTCCCCGCGGGTCTCAAGTTTTGGCCTACGACACGCTTGAGCTGCGAACTGTTCCAGTGACAGGTCGCATGGGGATGGTTGCTGCAGCCGCAGGACAAACCGAGTGCGCCAAAAACGTATCAGCCGAGTCAGTTCTCGCTGAGCCTCTGAACTAATGATCTAATGCATGCCATTTGCAGCTTCATGAGAGGCACAATATGCCCGGTCTGTTGTGCGGAAGGAGGAAGCTGCCGAGGGCTGGCGCTTCGGAGATCATCCGAGGAGGCAAAAAGTCAAGGCCGGCCAAGTCCGCAGCGTCCCCAAACTCGGTTCAGACGCCGCGCTGCGAGGCCGGAGACTGGGTGCAGGTTGCCGTGGAGTTCATTGCGTGAGGCGCCAAGTTGCGCTGGCACCGGCCGTGCCAGACTGTGCTCAAGCGAGTCCAGCCGGATTGAGGACTGGCATCAGCATGCACCTCCGTGCCCGCTCAGAACACGGTGCTGTAGGCCTCCAATAAGGCAAAGGCCACGGTTCTCGTAGCTTTGGCAGCAGCCAGGCCTCGAGGAGGACATGCTACCGCCCATCAGCTTACCGTCCAGGCGAACGTCGGCGTTGCAAAGCCTGTGAACTGACTTCACTGAGAGGCTACATGGAATTCCCCGGCAAACCATCAAGGAGGCCAACGAGCTGGTGCCTCAAACCTCGAACAGTGGCGGAGCATGGCGCCATGTGGAGCCCTCTGAATTCACTCACAGACTGTCGCACAAAGCCCAGCCCGAGCAGTAGCACTCTTGGCTGCAGGTTCTTGCTTCCAGTTGCCGGGGATCAGGAGCGACATGACTTCTATGCCCGTGCCTAAATTTCTCCGATCGATTATTACTACGCGAACCTGATGCACTCCATGGAAGGCCGAGGCTTTGCAGGGTGCGGCTCAGTCCTCAGAAGGCCTTACTCGTACCGTGACATGAGCAAGACTTCGGGGTCGTGAATCGTGATCGTGTCCGCTAGGGATCCCCTGTGTAAGGTCCGAGAGCTGGCAGCCCGGCCTCATACATTGCTGGACTGCAGCGGGAACGCGGGGTTGCGTGGGCCCCGAAAGGGTCAGTGGGGCCGTGAACGAACTTGGTTGCGGTCTGTGCCTTTGTGGGGCTTGAGGCCTGGCTTCTATGCAGCCAAACACGTCTCTTTGCGGTCCTTGGTGATGCCTGGACAGTGCCTCGAATTATCTCAAACTCGGAAGAGCGCATGCGTTGTTTTGGGGTGGGCTGAGGCTCGGAGCATGTCGCCTCCGTACTGAGACACATCGCCGAGGAGCACTGGGGAATTTAGAGCGACATTTATGGCATCTGTCTTCCCCGCGGTCATGCAACATAGGGTCTGCTGGCAATCAGTTCGTTTACAGGCGTTGCCGCCCTCGGCTCCCTGGCGTTTAGGCATTGCCCTCCCCTGATGTAGTTTGGTCTTGGAAGGTTGCAACATCAGGTTGCAGCACAAGACAAGATATTGCAAAAGCCTGGGACCAATTGGCTTCGGTAGCGGAGACTGAACCCAGAGCTCCCTTTAAGCTGCTTTTGCGATGTCTTCTTGTGTTGCTGCAGGCTTTCCTGACTTAGCTTTCACTTTGTTCGAGTCTTGGGCTGAGTGGTTATGGGACCCGTGCACCCCCAGCTCGCCTCGCTTGCAGGAGAACGGGGTGGAGGGAGCCGAAGTGGAGGGCCGAGATGCCTTTGACCGAAGACGGGGACAGGCCTAGATGATGCATCAACTTGCAGGTCTTCGCCGGGGATCCACGAGAGATGCCAGCCGCTGAAAAAGCTGAAGACTGGGAGCGCCGGGTGCGAGTGTTCGCTCGTGGAGGTTTGATGTGCTCCTGCCAGAGGGTAGGCGGGCAGACATTGTGGTGGTGGATCCCCCAGGCCCCTCACATGTCGCCTCTCCGAGCTTCATCACTTGGCACTTTGGCACTTTGTCATTGCAGGCACACCGCTGCAGGGCCGGAGCCCTTTCGCAATCCTGCCCGCCCTTCGCAAGGAGCTGCTGCAGGTTGGGCCTTCTCACCACAGCTTGGAGATCTCAGCGAGTCGTTACTTTAAAGCCCAGGACGCGGGCCTGGTGGTACCGCCGCTTGCCTGCTTCGAAGTGGGGCTCCTCGAGAGTCCGAAGCTCAGGGCCTGGCCGCCTGGCCCTGAGCTCGGCTCCCGTTTCTCCCTGAGGCCAGGAGCTCTCGCAGATCTTCTCCATTCCGAATGGAACCCGGGAAGAGGTAAAAGCTGCAACGGCTGCTGGAGCTGCCACCTTGGTTTGCTTGCAGGTGGACCTGCAAGTGTGGAACGAAGAGGCGGGCTGCTGTGGCAGCCACTGCTTTGGCTTCGTGGTTGCCGCAGGCGAGGAGGCAAGGTCTTCTGAGCCGCATGGCCAGTGCCTTAGTTGACGCGTAAGAGTGCTTAATAATGGCACGAAGAAGGAAGTTGCATGACGTGTGCTGTGGCTTCTTGATGCCTGTTGGGCAGAGGTGCCCTACACGAAGTGGCTTGGTGGTCATTCCACTTTGCGGCGCAGGCAGCGACCGTCTTGTTTCGGGCTTGGGCGCCAGCTCCACGACAGTAACCAGAATGTATCACAGGTGGCTGTCGCAGCCGAAGTGTGTGTACCATGTTGTCGGCGGCTTAGCGTGGGCTATCCTACAACTGCGTCTGTGAGTATTCCGCGACCAGGATTTGAACAGATACGGGCGGGCTCCCGTATCGGGAGAGGCTGGGTGAAGCTAAAGAAAGCTAGGTCTATCCAGACTGCGAAGCCGCTGCGACTATTCTCAGTTGCCTCTTGAATCTGTGTCGCAACATATGACAAGCCTCTTTGGGGTTGAGTGCCTCTTTGTAACTTGGTGAGGAAGGATCTATCTGCGTCGCGAAGCCGCAAACGCGCAAATCTTGTAAACGTGAGCCAACCCATGCGGGCGTGAATCCACAGGCGATTGTTCTTAAGTTCGGCATTGGAAATCGAAACGTCCGTCTGTGTCGTTTGTGAGATGTCACGGCATCTCACCGGCGGTCTCTATGGTTAGCTTGTTTTCTCCAAGCATTGCAAATGTCAGCCATGTTTACAAACACCACCAGCTGCCGGACCGAACTGTGTAGATGATTTTATTGTCATGCTTGCGGAATGGTATTTCCTTGAGAGGCCCTCCCTCGAGTTCTTTGCTAGCTTCTGCTTTCAGAGCTTCCTACAGTACTGTGTCGTCTTTGCATGATGGAGCAGATCATGTCCTCGCGTGGCACATTGTGCACACTGCCTTGGTGCAGCAGTGGCTCCGGTGCACCGTGTCTCTTAAGGCATGTTGCGTGAGAGCTGCTTAAGATCCCGTCTTCAGGAGACGTTTCGGCGGCCGCTCGCCGTTGAAGCAGCTGGTGTCGTGCATGCTATGGTGGGACGCTGGGTGGCACCTCGGCGGCTCTCGGTGGGCTTTGCTTGCTATGAGTCGAAGTGACTCGCAGTCCAAAAGGTCTTTGCTGAGAAGGGGCCTGCAGCACGCCGACTCGGAGCCGAGAGTGCCCACGCCGGCTTGACCATGCCTTTCTTCCCCTGATCCACTTATGGTCTGAAGCCATCAGCATGGCTGCAGGGATGGCAGCAGTGAGAAGCATGCTGCAGGTACTTACGAGGGAAGGGACCTGACTTGGCCGCAGTATGCCGGATCCTCGACAGTCGCCAAGCAGGTGTTGGCGGCTTGCAGACACAGTGTGAGAATTTCTTGCTTCGAGCTCCAGGTCCAAGCGGTGGCGAGGGCCGACACGAACCCCGGTGCCTCTGACTGGGATTCCATCAAGCAGCCGATTTAGGTGACTGCGTGCTGCCCTAGTCTCGAAGAGCTCGGATGAGCTGTGATGTAAGTTGCCAGGTCTGCTGGAACCCCTACCCGTCGAAGCAGGCGCTGTGCAGCAGCTAGAGGTCACTGTGCGGCTTGGAGCAGCCAAGGCCGAATCAAGCAGGGTCTTGCATGAGCCTTGCATGTTTTATGCTGAATGTAGGCAGGACTTCATGCAGGAATTGCTAAGGTAATTAGACATGAATGCAGTTGAATTGGCCTCGCGTCCTGTAGGCAAGATTCCCATTGCTCGCCAAAATGCGTCAGGTGACAGGATCCGCTGGCCCAGAATTCACTTTGCAGCTTGTTGGGACCGATCAAGACGATGTTTCTGCAAGACGAGGCAAGGAAGCCGATCGATTCTACGTCTTGAGTCTTGCCGGTGTCCTGCACATGTTTTCTGCATTAGGTGATTCTGTGAGAAGGACCAGTGAAGCGCCCACCGAGCTCTAGGGGCCGAAAAGCGAAGTGCGTGGCTGCGTGACGGAAGCACTCCACTGAGTCATGGCACCGCGCGCAGGATGCATGATCTGCTGCAACATGCAGGCTCAAACAGATCGTAGTGAGTAATAGCGGCATAGCAGAGATCTAGGTAGAGTTTACACACTTCATCACTTTTGCGGAGCCGAAGAGCAGAATGCCGGCTGCAGTTGCATCGGGAATTCACAGCCACCAAATCTTCAGACCATGCTCTCAAGCCTGCTTGGAGTAACGACCCCAAGAAGCCTGAGCTTCTAGCTCAAAGCTATTGGACGAGGCCATGGCGGCTGGCCTGGACGTGCACCTGCATCCCTTAGTCCGTGCCCTCGAAGCGAGGCACTGAGGATGTGTTTCGGGCGGGTAGTGAGCCAAGGTCCTCATCAACATCTCGGATCATGTGGTGAGGTTTCGCAGCGCCAGTCGGCGGCATCCTCAGCATCGCATGCAGCAAAAAAAAGTCATACTTTAGGAGTCGAAGCAAGGTCGGAGCGAGTACTTGGTGCCTTGCTTGGTGCACAGGAGGGCAGGTCCCGCCCGCTTGGGTGGATCGATGGTGCTTGCACTGCCTGCACTGCCGCCATGGTCAGGCGCATAGACGTGCACAACTCCTTCGAGCTTGTGTTGCAGGAGGAATCTGGTGAGAGGCACGAGAGAGAGAGACGAGCACCAGAGCCACCAGCCGGGCCTGCCATGGCTTCTGATGGTCGCAGGTCCCTCGACCTGGAGTTCTTCCAGCAGCGCCTGGCGCAATACCTCGAGGCAGCGGAGCGGAGCCGAACCCGCCCTTCTGCAGCCGCAGCCGCATGTCAGGTGTTTCCGCGGTACGAATTCTTGGGTGGTCGACCCAGCTGAGGCTAGCGCTTCTTGTCTCGCCCCAAAGCGCAGCAGAAGGGAGGAAGCTATCAGACCAATGATGCTGAGGATGGTATTCCACGGGGCCTCACCCAGAAGAGGCTGACAAGGCCTTGCACAGAAAGATCCAGGAGGCAGGGTACGGGAGATGTGTAACTTCCCTACGCCTGGAAAGTCCAGTTCCGGGAAGGTCGGTGCCAATGAGAATCCCTTTGCCCTCCTCATGGACGCAGACAAGATGTCGCGAGAGAAGGCACCGCATCGATCGTCAATTCTTCATGGCAGACTTTGGTGTAAATCCGTTACGGAGCGCTTCGCGTAGCTCTGATCGCGGAGGCTTCGCAGGGAGAGGACTTGCCGGTGAAGGCGCCTGGGTGTCTCTGCAGAATTGGCGAACCTCAGCTCCAGATGCGCAGGTCTATGATGCCACGGTCCACATCGAGCAGGGTGTAGCCACGGTCACGTGGAACGAGGCAGCACAGATGCTTTGCTCATGTGCAAGCTGGAATCACGCAGCTGAAACCTTTGGATGTGTGAGCTGGTCTTATGCAGGTGCCGTACATAATCGATACCCTGGAAGCAGAGCGGATAGCAGCAACTCTGGCGTGTTTGAATGCTGTTGCTGGAGCCGGCAGTCAAGTAAAGATGTGAGAATTCGGGGTACAGGTCAACCATGTGGCCAAGTCTGCGACCACGGCCACATCAGGCGGGACAAGAGGAATGTTACCAGATTTCTGCGGGAGCCATGCTCTGCGAAAGCTCCGAACAAAAAGACGGAAGAGTCAGTGCTTGCAAGGCTATGCCTCCGACTTCACTCAGTACACGTCTGGCTTGTCGAACTCCGTGGCCATGCCGGCCAAGTTGCTTGAACACTAAAATCCAAAACGACAGGATCAGACCACCAGCTAGTTCTGCAGTGGTTGGCTGCATCACTTCCTGGTCTGTGCGATTCCGTGGCCAGGTCATGCTCAGCAATCGGATAAAGGAATTGTTGGAGCACATGAAGGAGGTGAAGGCAACTCCAAGGGCGTTGCGCAATCTCTGTGCGGTATCAATATACCATAATACACTACAACATACTAAGAAGGTGCTCGCCAATCAGCATCCTTTCCTACCATGAAGCTCAGTCAAGTCTCCCGGCGTCAATGTTCAACATAGCCCAGTCCCTGAAGGAAGGACGAGCACCGAAGAATCCGGAGGTCCTGAGACAAACGCTGTCCATCTGCCAGGCAGGTGGATAAGTCCGATACTGTATCACAAAAAGTCTGCGCACCAGTGCACCAGGCACTCCAGTCCGTGCATCCGGCAGCCTTGCAGGAGGTCGGCCTCTCATGTAAGTTGTACTTCGACTTTACTTGCTAACCTCAGTTGTAGAAATTAGCTCATGTGGGGGTTTCCAAAAATTAGGGTACCTTATTTAGGGGTCCTTTTAAACAAGGACCCCACTATTTAGGGTGCTATATTAGGGTCCCCTATTTTCGGAAACCCCCAAATTAGCTCACCAGGAGTTCTGTGGCGAGTACAACGATGCCACGCTGGTCGTACTCCTGGCGACTCTGACAAAGGCCATTGCTTCCGTGTTCATACATGGGGGGTTTCCGAAAATAGGGGACCCTAATATAGTACCCTAAATAAGGATCCTTAGCCTTATTATAAGGACCCCCAAATAAGGTACCCCTAATTTTCGGAAACTCCCACATTGCTCAATCGCGAAACTGTGGTCGGTTCAGTACCCCTAAACCCTGTAAACCCTAAACCCTAAACCCTAAACCCTAAACCCTAAACCCTAACATGAGGTTTGTGCCAACACCTCTGATCTGCTCGACAAGTTCCAGCTGGCATATGACAGGACTGCTGGATGTGTTTGCGTTGATGGCTTCAACTCGGTTTAAATGTCCACTAAAGTTGCATGTTAGGGCGTGAAAGAAGCGTGAGGTGCAGCGCTGCTTCAAGCAGCTAGTGTTCCAATGCGAAGTTTGCCTGCTCAACCAACATCTGTTGTTTCGCCAGCAGCTATGCCATCAAGACTGGAGTGGGGTTGAATGTGGCTTAATGTGGTTGGGATCGAACATGCCGTGGTTTTCAGCAGAACAATCTGCCTCAGCCACATGCCCGCACTCAGCAGGAAACATCGACCCAGACATCACTATCCCTTCGGCTGACCCTGAGTGCGGATCAGTCTCTTGCACGCAGCGGCTACGAGCAATGTCGAGCACATTTCCCAGCCGGTGACGCATGTAGCTCGGTGCAAAAAGTGCATACCAAGGGCAACGTGCTGTGGGAGCTTAGATGAGCTTCGATTTGGGGGCTTCTCTGTTTCGAAGACTTGCGACGGCACACTTGCAAGCACGGACCGCTTCCAGCTGTGAGTTTCGGCGACATTTGCTCAAAAGGGCAAGTCCCCTCAATGTAGCTGCAGCCGGAGGCATGGCCTCCGTTGATTTGCGATATCTGTCCGACTTGTCCCAAGCTCCACAGGTGGGCTTGATGTCCTTTGTCCGGCTTCTGGCTCACCGAAATGTGCTCTCCCAGTGGAGTTCAGGATTTACGGTGAGGATCTGCACAGAATGGCAGGTACTGGCTGCGTTGCTCTGCTGTGCCACAGCAAGCAAGCTGAGGAGAGTACCTTCTTAGTCTTATAGTATATTATAGTATATTACAGTATATTATAGTATATTATAGTATATTATAGTATATTATAGTATATTATAGTATATTATAGTATATTATAGTATATTATAGTATATTATAGTATATTCTAGTATATTATAGTATATTATAGTATATAGTATATTACCGTATATTATCGTATATTATTTTAACTATTATAGTAACTATTATAATAACTGTTATAGTATATTATAGTTTCTTATAGTATATTCGAGTATGTCAGAGTATATTAGATTATAGTATAGTATATTAGATTATATTCGAGTATAATAAAGTATAGATTATATTACAGTATATGATAGTATATAGCATTGTACTATAGCTATATTACAGTATACTAGATTATGGTATAGCTATTTTAGAGTATATTAGGATTATAGTATAGCTATATCAGAGTATATTAGGATTATAGTATAGCTATATTAGAGTATTAGAGTAGAGTATAGCTTTCTTAGAATATGTTAGAATATAGCTAAACCCTAAACCCTAAAC